ATGACCTTAGTAAATGTGCACAGTATACTGTGTACATGACCTTAGTATATGTGCACAGTATACTTTGTATATGACATCAGTAAAAGTACACAGTATATTGTGTCTCTAATGAACATTGTTATGAAGGAAGAGACTGTTGATCAACTTTTCTCTAGTTTACTTTTTGGGGGATGTCAGATATATTTTAATAAAGTATAACACAGGAAGTCCTTTACAGACTATAAATTAATTTAAAATTATTATTTTTTATTTTCCAGACTGACAGATTTCTCCTTTAAAGTGATTCAATTCAAAGGGATTATATTTCTAGAATTTCAGCTCATTTAGTCATTTTATACTATTTATTTTTCATATTTGATCCTTTATTAAAATGTATTTATCTCAGTACAGTTACATCCCAGTTTCTTTTTCTCAGTACATACAGTATATTATCAATATAATCTCAGTACAGTTACCTCTCAGCATGATTCTAAATATGATCAAGTTTAACTGATCCAGACAGACACAACAACTTGTTAAAACACCACGTTGAACTGAATTTATTTAGATATTTATGATAAACAACAAACACCTGAAGCTGACTCTCACAGAGAGAACTTAAAATATTAAAGTTAAACAAAGACACACATCTTTTTTATAATCTGGGAAATAAACATTTGTCTGTTAGCGTTAATATTGTTTAATTATAAGAAGTAAAGCAGCAGATGCAGCCTGTCTCTCTCTCTCTTTATGACCAGATGTTTGGTCACGTGCGCAGGTTGCACTTGTCCGAAAGAAAAACAGATTGTCTCAGAGAAACCGAAGCCGCTCATGTCGACCCCTCCATGTGCTTTTGCAACTTATTTTTTTCCAAAATATCAAAATATTTAAATTTATTTACAAACATTTTCTACATGGAAACACACTGAGATCTCTTCAGTTTACTCATTAACTTTGTTTTCTTTAAAACCTGCTTCAGATTGTGGCTGTTTGTCTCCTTATGCTACTTTTAGCGTTTAGCTACTGTTTTCTGCTACTTGTAACTTTAGCTTTATGCTAACCTTTTTCTTCTCTTAGCTAGTGTTTTGCTACTTTAGCTTTTAAGTAGCTGTTTGTTTTTAGAAGAACCCTTTTGGGATTATAACTAGATATTTTTTACTTTTAGCGTTTTTGTCGATTTTAGCTTTAAATTTGCTTTTTATTACTTTTAACTTCAAGATAGCTTTGGCTTTTTTTGTATATTAGCTCACAGTTAGCTATTTTTTTTAGCTAATGTTCTGCTTCTTTTTAACTTCTTGCAGGCCTTTTTATATTTTTAGCTTTAAGCTATTGTTGTGTTTTAGCTATCAATTAGCTACTTTTAACTAGCCCATTTAGACATTTTGTTTTTAGCTAACCTTTTGTTCCTTTTTGCCAGCTACTTTAATACTTTAAATTTTTAGCTTACCTTTTGCTACTATTACCTTCTGCTTCTTTTAGCTAGGATATGGGAGAGTGGTGGTGCAGAGGTTAGAGAAGGTGGGCCTGTGATTAGAAGATCGTCGGTCCAAGCCCCGGTACTGACAACATCAAAAATGTGGGTGGGGTAGGTGAAGCACCCACACCTGCCCCCACCCTCATTCATCCCACTCTGGGCCCTTGAGCAAGGCCCTTAACCCCCAACATCTGCTCCTCCGGGTGTCCTAGATGGCAGCTCTCTGCTCCACACAGAGCTGTGGTAGCTCGGTGGTCTGTGGTTGTGTCATGAAGGGCGTCCAGTGTAAAAATAACTGCCACGTCTTTGTGCGACTTAGTTCGCTGTGACGACCCCTAAAAAAAAAGGGAGCAGCCGAAAGGGGGGAAAAAAAAATTATATATATATATATATATATATATATAAAACTTTTAGCTTCCTGCTAGCTTTTTGTTAGTATAACCTAGCCTTGTGATACTTTCAGCTTGCCAATTTTTCTTCTTTTTCTTCCTGCTAATCTTTTAATAGTGTTAGCTAGCCTTTTCAAACATTTAGATTTTAGCTATATATTTGCTAATGTAGCTTTTAGCTTCTATTTAGCTACTTTTAACTAGCCACTTATTACTTTTTGCTTTTAGCTAACCATTTACTGCTTGTTCCTACAGTTTTGTTAATTGTATTGTCTAGCCTATAAGCTAAATGATAAAATTAACAATAATAATAAAAGCAATAATAATAATTTTAGCTTTTAGCTCACATTTAGCTACTTTTGGTTTAGAGTTCTGCTTCTTTTAGGTTTATTAACTCACTTTCAGCATCTTGGGCATTGAGTCGTTTAGCGTTCTCAGTGTGTTTTAGCAGAAAACGTTGTTTCCCCAGTCTAACTTGGTCTTTCATCCACCATCTTGTCCAGGTCTCCGTAAGGGCAGGTTCTGGATCACACCAGACCCATACCACCACGAAGACAACATCCAGATCGGCCGGGAGGTGAAGATCAGCTGCCAGGTGGAAGCCACACCTCTGGAGGAGCTGCAGTTCAGCTGGTTGAAAAACGGCCGGCCGCTGAGGAGCTCTGAGCGGATGGTCATCACCCACATGGACACGGGCGTCTCTCCGGGAACCACCAACCTGGACATCATCGACCTGAAGTTCACCGACTTCGGCACCTACACCTGTGTGGCCTCGCTGAGGAACGGAGGAACCCCAGAGATCAGCATCGACGTCAACATTTCATCCACCACAGGTCCGGAGTAGTTTGTTCTGAAAGCAGCCGAACAAGCCACAAACCCACTTAAAGCCTAGAACATCTCCAGAGCTAAGGTACTGCTGGTACCAACCTGATAAAAGGTCGGACCTGACAGATCCAGTTTGGTACATTGTCAGTGACCTGGTCCTGTACTGAGGAAAGTTTGTGCAGTTCTTCCTTCATTAATCCAGAATAATAAAAATAAACATAAAATGTAAAACAGTAGAATATGCTTATATTTAGCTCCTCGAATGAGAAGTGAAACCAGTGACAACATCAGAACCTGGTCCATTTTTTACATCCTACAAACGCCATTTTGCCTCTCTCCTTGTAGTTCCTCCTGAGCTCACCATCCCCAAGGGCCAGTCCGAACTCATGGTTCATGAGGGCGACACCGTGGACCTGCAGTGCTTGGTCTCAGGAAAACCCAAACCCATCATTCTGTGGTCTCGTGTGGAGGAAAGCGGGTCGGCGGCCGTACCGACTGCGATGCCCGACGGCTCGGCTCAGGTGGAGAGCTACGACGGCATCCTGAGGATCAACAACGTGACGAGGGAGATGAGCGGGACGTACCGCTGCCAGACGAGCCAGTACAACGGGTTCAACGTGAAACCCAGGGAGGGTCTGATCCAGCTGGTGGTGCACTGTGAGCATCTCACACACACACACACACACACACACACACACACACACACACACACACGTGCACTGGTTTGTTTTGCTATCTTTATGGGGACTTTACATTGACTTCCATTCATTTTTCATTCATTTCTATAGCCTAGCCCTGACCTTTACCCTAAACCTAACCATTACCAGTAAATACCTAACCTTAAACCTAACACATCCTCAATTCACACTTTAGTCTTAAATCTAACCCCTAACCCACCAACAGCACTTCTTCTTATGGGGCCCGGGCTTTGGGCCCCGTAAGGAGCAGTTGGTCCTCACAATGTAGTACAAGTTGGAAAAATGGGCCTTACAAAGTAACATAAACAAAAACACACACACACACACATTCGGCTCATTCAGGACATTCCTGCTGTGACTTTTGGTGTTTATCTAATTTCTACTTTTTGAAATATTTAGCTTTGTCTGCCATTTTTGTCTCATTGAAAGTTAATGGAGCTCTTCCTTCAAACCCTTTGAGCTGTTACTGATCATTTAAGCTGTTGTCCTGGTTCAGCTTTGTTCCGCTTCATCTATGCTATTTTCTGCTTCCTTCAGCTCCTTTTAGCTTCTTTCTGCTCATTTCACTTTTTTTCCCCAAATATTTTTTACATTTTTTTAGCTTTTTTCCCTTTACCATTCAGCTTCTTTTTTTTCTTTCAAACGTCAGCTTTTTGTGCTTCTGTCAGCTATTTCAGCTGATTTCAGAGAATGCTTTTATCTTATTTCATCTTTTTCAATACTTTTCAGCTAATTTTAGCCTTTTTGTGCCTTTTTCAGCTATTTTCAGCTAATTCTCTTCTAAGCTCTTTTGTGCTCTGTTAAACGTCTACTAATTTCATCTATTTTGTATTCCATTTATTTTTTCTGCTAATTTGGCTTTTTACACTCATTTCAGATTTTTCTTTCCTAATTTTAGCATGTTTCTGCTACTCTTTTTTCTTTCATCTTTTCAGCTATTGGTGTATTTCAAATAAGCTTTAGCTTTTTCCAGCTCCAGCTTTCAGCAAAATCATTCAGCAACAACTACTCACTGCCTTTTCACAGAAATGCAGTTTCTCTAGTTCTTCTGGTCTTCTGCAGAATTTGTTGTATTTTAGCTGTTCTTCTATCGCCAAATTCAGCTGATGGAAGCTGTGACTTTTGTTTGTTTTTTTGTTTTTTTAACTCAGTCTTTTTTTAAATATTTAACTTTATTTACAAATATTTCCCATAGAAATACATCGAGTTCACTCAAGTTCCTTCAAAAACATTTTTCTTTAAAGTCTGCTATAGTTAAATGGATTTGTTTTTGTCTTCATATGCTACTTTTAGCTTTTAGTTAACATTTTACTACTTTTAGCTTAAAGCTAACCTTTATATACTTTTAGTTAACCTTATATGTTTAGCTTAAAGCTAAAATTTAGCTACTTTTAGCTAGGCTGTGATGCTTTAGGTTCTTTACTAGCATTTTGCTACATTTAACTTCCGTACTTCCGTGTTCTAACTTTAACTGCTCAGTTTCAGCATATTCAGAGCTTTAATTCAACGCTCACCAAACAAATCAAAATGGCTACCACAGCTAATCCACTTTAGTCCACAAAGAAATGGCTATATCTCAGTCAATTTTAAAGATATTGAGCTGACATTTGGTGTGGTAATAGCTGAGTCATCTCTAACACATAGTCTGAGGGCTAACAGATCGTGCATATTGTTTTCTTTTTTAAACACCTTCAGCTCCACCATTTCTCAACAAGAGATGATTTCAGTTTAAAACTTTGGCATGAAAGATGGTGAGTGATGGACCCTAAATGTTATTATATGTTTATGGTCTGACAGATTTAAAACACTCGTTCTTTGTTAAGCTTAATTAATTTGAGGCCATTCACCCTCTGAAGTTTGAACTAATTAACATCTTGTGTCTGGTGTCAGGCAGGATTTGTTCTCTCTCCATCAGAGAGGATGCTGATGATTATTTTCCTTCTGAGGGTGAAAACCCCGAGGAAGTTTTGTGTCGCCGCTGATTTTATGTTCGTTTATGTCAGGATGTTAATTTGTGAGGTGACAAATGTAAAGTGGCAGAAATTCACAGTAAGAAAAGGCCACAAATTCTGTTCCTAACAGGTTTGTTTCACTAGGCAGCAACAGATAGACACAAAATTGTGAAAAAATAAAGTTAATAGATCAGAAAACTTTGAATGCATCTTGTAGTAAAAGCTTAATAAATGTTTGTGAATAAAATAAGCACTTTGATGCACATTTTTGTTCCACGAAGTGCAAACAATCCATACAGTGTTGAGTTACAAGTTTACAAGTTTTCGTACTGTAGTAAAATACATAAAATAAATAAATAAATAAATAAAATAAACTGGTTCCAAACATCCGTTTCATGTTAATTTTTGTGCAAATTTTTTAAATGCGTTAAAAAATTCCTGTGATTTGACATTGAAGTCCTGCAAGTCACACAAGGAAATCAAGAGCAGCTACAAATGTTTCCAGACCTTTTAGAGACTCCCTCATGCACATCATTTGTACAAACCGGATTCCAAAAAAGTTGGGACACTAAACAAATAGTGAATAAAAACTGAATGCAATGTTGTGGAGATGGCAAATGTCAATATTTTATTCGTAATATAACATAGATGACAGATCAAAAGTTTATTCTGAGTAAATGTAACATTTTAAAGGAAAAAATATGTTGATTCAAAATTTCACAGTGTCACCAAATCCCAAAAAAGTTGGGACAAGTAGCAATAAGTGGCTGGAAAATAACGAACATCTGGAAGACCAATTAACACTAATTAGGTCAATTGACAACATGATTGGGTATTAAAAGAGCTTCTCAGAGTGTCAGTGTCTCTCAGAAGCCAAGATGGTAAGAGGATCACCAATTCCACCATTGTTGCGCAGAAAGATAGTGCAGCAATACCAGAATGGTGTTACACAGCGTAAAATAGCAAAGACTTTTAAGTTATCATCATGAACCGTGCATAACATCATCAAAAGATTCAGAGAATCTGGAACAATCGCAGTGCGTAAGGGTCAAGGCCGCAAAACTCTACTGGATGCTCGTGATCTCCGGGCCCTTAAACGTCACTGCACCTCAAACAGGAATGCCACTGTCAAGGAAATAACAGAATGGGCTCAGGAATACTTCCAGAAAGCATTGTCAGTGAACACAATCCACCGTGCCATCCGCCGTTGCCAGCTGAAACTCTACAGTGCAAAGAGGAAGCCATTTCTAAGCAAGCTCCACAAGCTCGGACGTTTGCACTGGGCCAGGGGTCATTTAAAATGGAGTGTGGCAAAATGGAAGACTGTTCTGTGGTCAGATGAGTCACGATTTGAAGTTCTTTATGGAACATTGGGACGCCGTGTCATCCGGACCAGAGAGGACAAGGATAACCCAAGTTGTTATCAACGCTCTGTTCAGAAGCCTGCATCACTGATGGTATGGGGTTGCATGAGCGCTTGTGGCATGGGCAGCTTGCATGTCTGGAAAGGCACCGTAAATGCAGAGAACTATGTTCAGGTTCTAGAACAACATATGCTCCCATCTAGACGTCATCTCTTTCAGGGAAGACCCTGCATTTTTCAACACGATAATGCCAGACCACATTCTGCAGCAATCACAACATCATGGCTACGTAGGAGAAGGATCCGGGTACTGAAATGGCCAGCCTGCAGTCCAGATCTTTCACCTATAGAGAACATTTGGCGCATCATAAAGAGGAAGGTGCGACAAAGAAGGCCCAAGACGATTGAACAGTTAGAGGCCTGTATTAGACATGAATGGGAGAGCATTCCTATTTCTAAACTTGAGAAACTGGCCTCCTCTGTCCCCAGACGTCTGTTGAATGTTGTAAGAAGAAGGGGGGATGCCACACAGTGGTAAAAATGGACTTGTCCCAACTTTTTTGGGATTTGTTGACGCCATGAAATTTGGAAACAATAGATTTTTCCCTTAAAGTGATACATTCTCCCAGTTTAAACTTTTGATCTGTGATTTGTGTTCTATTCTGAATAAAATATTAGATGTTGGCACCTCCACATCATTGCATTCAGTTTTTATTCACAATTTGTTTAGTGTCCCAACTTTTTTGGAATCTGGTTTGTAATTTGTCATTAACAGTAACACCAGTGAGATACTCGCTTAAGAGGCTCAGGACCAAAAACCACAATGTCCATCTTGTCTGAGTTGAAAAGCAAAACATTACAAGTCATCCAGCTTTTTATGTCTCTGAAACAAGGTTCTAATCAAAGTAACTGCTTGGTTTCAACAGGCTTTATGAATAAATATAACAGAGTATCATCAGCATAACAGTTTATTTCACACTGTAGAAGCATATCTAAACCAAAACGTAATAGTCCAAACACTTAACCTAGAGGAACTCCTTGAGAAATCTAAATATGATTTTGTTCCCACCTGAACGTCCTTGTGTTTCCTGTTTGTGTTTCAGTCCCCCCGACTGTCGAGCCGGTGTTCACAGATGTTCGTCAGGCCCTCAGCCGAGCCTTCAGCCTCACCTGCAGCTTACTGGAGGCCAACCCGGCTCGCCTCCTTCGATACGAGTGGAAGCTGGGCTCACGCCTTCTGACCGTCGGAGAGCTCAGTCACCAAAACCTTGACACCAGCTACCAAGTCAAAGCACTGAACCGAGAGGGCTACGGCGAGTACACCTGCGACATAACCAATGAGGCGGGAGCGGGACGCTGTACCTTCCTGGTCACAGGTGGGACAAACTGTTATTGTTAACCCTTGCCATATTCTGTGCGGGGAAACGGACCTCTTTATGTATTAGACAACACATGATAGCTTATGTGATATTAAAAAGTTTGTGTTATACTTGTTATTATCTAAAGCACAAATAAAAACATCCTCATATTAGTAGAAATGTGTAAACTTAATATATTTTACGTTTGAGTCTGGTTTAGTTTTTCGGTTGGTTGAGGCAGCTGTTAGCAGCTGTAAAAAGACGATCTATGCTCTTCATTTAAACTACCCTGCACTTTAAAGGGGCAGTCTTTTTATTTACTTATTTATTTGATGAAAAGTTGAGGCAACAAGCAGCATTTCCATCAGATTTACAACAAATATTTGTGAAACTTTATGAAACAAACTGAAGCAGCTTTCTGAGCTGGACTAATAACCCGTAGAGCTGTGGACCCTCCGCCTGGGAGGAGCTCCGGACTCGCTCGGCTTCTCCTCTCTGACTGACTTGACTCGCATCTCTGGCCCTTCCTGATCAAAGCTTGCCTGCAAAGACACCCTTCCAGATTTCCTCTAAAACCCGCGGTCACGTTAAGCCTCTTAACTGGGCCAGCTGCCAAGCAGCAGCGCATTCTGCTGTCAGCAGCACTAAATGTTTAAACAATCAAATTATAAACTGCAGTCGCAAAAAGCTGAGGAAAGGTGATGGCGTCTACGTGGGACCTGTCATTTTCTGAGGTGTATATATATTTAAATATATAAAGGCTTATTAAAGTTTGCTCATCCTGCAGCAGCTAATAAAACTGCTCAACTTCAAACTGAAATCCTGTGAGGCGTGACCTGGAAAAAAGTGCCTACCTCAGGAAACTAGCGGATTGCCTTGAATCCTCAGTTCAGCTCGGTACAGTTCCACCTCCTGAGCATGCTCGATGCTCGGGGGCAGTGGAGACCTCCAGCAGAACCAGAACCAGGATCAGCAGCCATCTGACTCAGTTGATTGAGGGCTTGCAGGACAGAGACACAATCATGTCAGTTGGGTTTTTGTTTAAAATATAAATAAAAACAAAATTTACTTATTTGCAAATCTAATAATTTTTACAGTAGAACACAGTAAACATGACAAATGTTGCAGGTTGCAACATTTGTCATGTTTACTGTGTTCACAGGTGTTTGTATGAAAAACATTTTAGAATCTGTCAGAAGTAAAGATGGGCAGAGGTTCACCGGTCTGGTTGTAAATTGTCTAATTTCTCAACTCTATCTTGTAAATGAGTTGCCCGTGTGTGGCCTGTTTGACCCTTGACCTCTGTGCCTCCTCAGGGAAAGCCCACACTCCAGAGTTTTACTACGACGTCTACAGCACTCTGTGGCAGAACCGACCCCAGGTCTATGGCTTCAAGCTGCAGTGGACTCAGATGGAGCCCAATGCCGTGGATCGGATTCTGGCCTACAGGCTCGGTATCAAGCAGGTCTGTACGAAACACTCAGATCTCAGGGTATGAATTAAAAAGACGGACGTTTAGAGTCTTTGAGTTGTAGAGTGACTCAGGACTGAACGAAGTTTAATGAAAGCTAATTTTCTCTGCAAACCGCTGTGTGAACTCAACACTTTGTAGACTCAGTGTATTCTGTTCCAGTGCATTCTGGGATTTGTAGTTTTAGTGGGTTATGTGCTGTTTTAACACTTTTCTCTCCTACATCTGAGCAGAAATGAACCTCAGCCGAATATTCTCAGAGCTGTTTTTGTGCGTCTGTTGTAGCAAAATCTCCAACAACATAGATTCTGTAAAATAAAATGTTCAACAGTTCAGTTCAACTTTCTGTGGCCCGTTAAAACTCTGAATGTTCTGCTGTGATGTCTGAGATGGAGATCCAAACAGGACTGGGTTTTACCACTCTTTAAACCAGTTAGCAGCTCAAAGTAGCAAAAGATGAGCTAAAACTAAAAGGAGTAAAACAATAATTACAAGTTTAAAAAACTAGCTAGAAGCAATAAGAAGCAAACAGCTATTTAAAAGCTAAAAGCAGCTAAACACTAGCTAAACTAAGCTAAAACTACCAAACGGTTAACTCAAATGATCAAAACACTTGCTAAAAGTAGTAAAAGGTTAGCTAAAAACTAAAAGTAGCTAAATAATGGTTAAACCTATTAAAGGATTATCTAAAAGTTCAAAGAAGAAAACAGCTAGCTTAAAGCTTAAAATAGCAAAAAGCACCCTAAAAATAAGCTAAAACAGTAGCCAAAAGCTAAAAGTAGCATAAGAAGAGAAAAATAGAGCCAGCAGCTAAAGCAGATTTTAATAGAAAACAATATTTTCACAGGAATTGAGGAGATCTTAGTGTTTTTCTGTGGCTGGATGCTGAATTATCCAGCACCACACAGGATTTCTACAGTTAGCTCAAACCACAGCTGAGTTATTTTTAGGTTCAGTTCCTGCTCTTTATTACCTGTCTGTGCTGCCTTCTTTCAGCTACAACCGTGAAGTTTTACAACAACCTTAGGCTGATAATGTTTGTGTTAAGCTTATATTTGTGTTGGCTTATTTTCCAGTATGTTAATATGATTTAATAATTTTAAAACAAATAGTTTTCTGTTGGCATTCGTGACACATTTCAGGAGCTTACAGCTCCATCTTACTTACAGCCACAAACTTTATTCAAGCTTTCAAATCCTCCTAAGACATTAATCTGCCCATGTCGTATCCTCAGTTGGCAAAAAAAAAAAAAAAGGTTTAAAAGATTTGTGTATCAAGTAGGTTTTACATCTTTTTTGCCATCAGTTCGTCATGGTACTGGTTCTGTTGGACCGGAAAGAAACCGTTCTGATCATGTTTCTTCAGAGCTGTGAACATTTAACAGTTTCTTCAGAAATGTTAGCTCTTTTTCACAGACTTATGTTTCCTGCTTTATTTCATTTAATTTTTGACAACTATGTCTACAGACTTTGTATTATTTTAGCCGGTCATATTTCAAAACATTCAGCTCATTCAGGAGCTGGGAGCTGTGACTTTTGTTTTTGTCAATTTTACACTTTTCAAGATATTTAACTTTATTTACAAAAAAAAAAAAAAAAAACACATAGAAACACATTGAGATCTCTTCAGTTCATTCTAAAACATTGTTCTTTACAAAGTATAAAATATACAAAAATCAGTTACACTAGAAATCTGCTTTAGCTGCTAACTTTGTTGTCTTACTGTTAGCCTTTTGCTAGTTTTACCCATTAGCAAGCCTTTTGTGTAATTTTTGCTGTTACCTACCCATTTGCTACCTTTAGCTACTATTCTACAATATTTCACCTTCACCTAACCTTTTTACATTTTTAGCTTTTAGCTACTGTTTTCTGTTACTTTTAGTTTTTATATAGTTTTTGTTACTTTTAGATTTTATCTAACTTTTTTTAAGTTTAGTCTTTAACTAACTTTTTATATTGAGATTTTAGCTGTTCTTTTTCTACCTTTAGCCTCCTTTTTGAGTAATTTTAGCTGTTGCTACTTTTTTTCTGTTTTGCAAAAAAAAAATTATAATTTATAATCACTTGTTTTGTGTTTGTCTCAGACGGGACAGTCTCGCTGGTGGGAGCAGGAGATCCCCATGGAGAGAACCATCCAGAAGGGCCAGCTGCTGACCTACAACCTGACAGAACTGATCAAACCCGAGTCCTACCTGGTCCGCCTCACCCCCATCACCCGGTATGGAGAGGGGGACACCTCAGAACGCATCATCACGTACAGCGGTGGGTCCTTCTCACTCACCATTAAACTCACTCACCAATAAATTCACTGTTTAGGGTGGTATTTACCCACTACTAAAGGTTTAAGGTGGTATTAATCCATTAACTAAAACTTTAAGATGGTATTAATCCACTGATTTAACATTTAAGGTGGTATTAATTTTCTGACGTAACATTTAAGGTGGTATTATTCAACAACTAACCTTTTAAGGAGGTATTAATACACTGACTTAACATTTAAGGTGGTAAAGTGGTATTAATCCACTCTCAGAATGTTTAAGGTAGTATAATCCACTTACTAAAACTTTAAGGTTGTATTAATCCAATGACTAAATCTTTAAGGTGGTATTATTCAACAGACTAAACATTTAAGGTGGTATTAATCCATTTACTAAACCTTTAAGGTAGTATTAATCTACTGTCAGAATGGTTAAGATGATGTTCAACAGACTTAACCTTTTAAGGTGGTATTAATACAGACTAAACATTTAAGGTGGTATTATTTAACAGACTAAACTTTTAAGGTGGTATTAAATCACTTACTAAACCTTTAAGGTAGTATTAATCCACTTTCAGAATGTTTTATGGTGGTATTAATCCACTGACTAAACATTTAAGGTGGTATTAATCCAC